AAACATACCTCTTCAGAATAGTTTATTTTCAAAATATGTAAAAAAAATTTCAAACACACAAGTTATTTTAATGAGTACCTTGGTAACTTTTAGGAGGATATTTGGATCCAAAAAAAAAAATCTCTTTCAGCTTTTATCTACATTCCTTTAGTCTCTGTAGATAGTAAATCCATCCTGTGATCTGGGATTATCAAAGTGGGTGGTCTTCCTCTGTTTTGAATATATCATCTTGGTTGCTAGATTTGGAGGCACGGACAACTTGTGTACCTGCCTTCTCAGTCCGTGAACTCTGCACCCTTTGGGACTTAAGTTTTCATTCAAGTGTCATGTAAGACAGAGAAATGTCTTCATGAGAGAACGTCTTTGAATAACAGAGCAAGAAGTGACTCCGATTGTCACCAGCTCACTCTTTTATTTTCTAATCTGGGGCTGAGGGAGATGTGACTCTTTGGGAGTCACAGGACAGGGTGAAGGCAGAGGTTGTGGGGCTTATTGCACAGTCCTTCCTCCTATAGTACAGTATGCATTGATATAGAGGTGATAGTAATTGAGTCTGGAAAAATCTTGAAAAGTGAGATAAGTTACTGTATTTTACTATTTATTTTCTCCCATCCTTGAAAGAAGAATGCATTTGAAATCTCATGAATAAGACTCAAGTGTTTGAGGAATTTTATATCCATTTATGCTTTCATGACATGCTCTCCTTAGTTATGTGACTACATTCAAGGACATTTGTAATGTTTGTGTGTGTTAAATAAGACAATAYAAGGCAAGCATTCTGTTCTATAYCTTACCAACAGGAAGTACTTCATGAATTTTAGCTAATTGACWTTACTATTATTTGCTTACATTCGAKAATCCTTTTAGCCAAAATGCTAGGGAATAAAATATTTACACAATCTTAGAGATAATTACCATGTAATTCCTCACAGTATCTGAAGAGGCAGGTAAGAAAAATAGTATTATTATTGAAATCTGGGAAAACACGGACACTAAAAAATTTGTGAGCCGAGAAAGACATATATATTTTTTATTTCCTTCTCMACCTCAGGTCTAAATACTCTCATTTTATCCATTTTTAGTTTCCTGAATAAATGATTATGAAAAGGAAACTAAATAAAATATACCAGAACAACTCCAAACCCTCTATAAGCTGAGTAAAGGCAGCTTTGTGGGCTTCTCCTGGAGACTTCCTTCCTTCCCCAACAACACAGCAGCTAGAAAAGGAGAAACAGGCTTGAACACTTCCTCTTGACCAAAATAAATAAAGAGGAACTAATATGTGGGCTTTAAAATAAATAAATAAATATATATATAAGAGTACATGTTTCTTTTATAATGAAAAATATATATAATATATATTCTTATATAATGAAAATATATATATATATATATATTTTTTTTTCATTATAAAAGAAACATGTACTGGAGCTGGGGTTGTGGCTCAGTGGTAGAGTGCTTGCCTTGCACACATGAAGCACTGGGTTCGATTCTCAGTACCACATAAAGTAAATAAATAAGTAAAAAAAAAAAACAAGACAAAACATGTACTAACCACTAATACTTATCAAGYAGTTGTCTCTAAGTGATGCACTGAGTGATTTACACACAGTAACTCATTTAATCCTTTCAGCTCTGAAGAGTAGGAATGATTTTTATCATCACTGTACAGATGAGGAAACCCATGTCAAGAGAATGCAGGGTCTGCCAGAATTTGCAGAGCTCACAGATGGTGGAGATGAGATTCCACCTTAGCGCTCATGTCTCTAAGCTAAAACTCTCAGTCACTACCCCGTGTATCACCACCTCCTACCCAGGTTGGAAAATAAGGAAAACAAGAATCAAATTGGACTCTGATTTAATAAAATGGACTCTGATTTGTGTTTTGAACAGCAGTGAGAAATTTGCTAATTAAAAATGACACAGAATTAAGAGTTCTCCAATTACAAACTCAAGATCAAGTAGTCAGGAAGATCTGATTTCTCCTGTGATCTCGCTCTTTGGCTTGCAGATGGCTGCCTTCTTGCTATGTCCTCTGCTGGCCTACCCCCTATCTGAGGGTTATCTGTATCCTAATCTCTTCTTCTAAAGACATTAGTCATACTGGATAAGGGCTGTTATTTATCTTTCAGTTACTGTAACAGGACATCTGAAATAATTCAACTTCAAAGGAGGAAATGTTTATTTTGACTCACAGTTTTGGAGGTTTCATTATGTGGTCACTTGACACTATGGCCTTTGTCCTTGTGATCAGGTACAACATCATGGTGGAAGTACATGATGGCAGAAGCTKCTCCCCTTATGGTGGCTGGGAAGCAAAAAGAGAGGGAGACCAAAGTCCTGCTTATCCCTTTGGAAAGCATGACCTGCTTTGCTCCCACCTTTCARAGGCTCCACCACCTTTCAGTAGTGCTACAGTTTGGGGACCAAGCTTTTAACACAGGGCCTTTGGAGGAAATAGCTATCTACACCATAGTAAGGAGAAAAAACTGTGTGACGTCATTTTACCTTAATGAACTCTTTATAGGCCCTATACTTATATCTCTAAATATTGTCCCATTCAGGGACCTTTTRGATTAGAACCTAAACATGTAGATTTGGAGAATACAATTCAGCTTGTAACAGGCATATTCAGGCTCTTCTGTGTAAGATTAGTAAATTGTACCTTCAAGGACTCTATTGGCACAGGTAGACCATAATTTTATTTTTTATTTTATTTTTCTCCTTTTAATGTCTGGAAGATTTATAAATGATGTTCCCCTTTTCTTTCCTGATATGGATTTTTTTCTTACTCTTCTCATAAAGACTTTAAAAAAAAAAAAAACAAGTTCTCCAATTACAAGCTATCAGAGAAAATAAAAATATATTCAATGAAGTCACAGTAGTCCTTCAGATTATTGTGTGGACATTATCACTCACACGGACACTTTATTCAGTTTTATCTCAGACTGAATAAAGGGTCAACCAACGTCCAATCGGGATGCAYAGGGTGCTCACGAAGGGCATGTGACCTGAGATGGAACTGCACCGGATGGGAGAGCTCTTCCCCCTTTTCCTTCTCCCTGTTCAAGCAGATAGTTGGTTCTCTGCTCACTTCCTCAGAGGAGAATGAAGCCAGGTGGAAAATAAAAGTTGTTTGACAATGACTTTTTTTCCTGGCCTTTAGTTCCGATGCCCAACTACGGAAAAGAAAAGACTCTCCGATTCTAGACTCTGGAAAGGTAAAGATCCTCCCTTCAGATGAATGGCTAATAACAATAACCATCTCACTCCTGGATCCCTAACTACGCTTTAGGCACCTATTAAATCACATATCTATGTACTTAGTAACCCTTTAAAAACCCTATGTGAAGGGGGGATAGTAGGGGATAGGAAAGGTAGCAGAATGCAACAGTTACTAATAGGGCATTATGTAAAATTGTGGATGTGTAACCGACGTGATTCTGCAATCTGCATTTGGGGTAAAAATTGGGAGTTCATAACCCACTTGAATCTAAT